TATAGTCCAGTCCTGGCCTCTCGTTTCCGACGCTCGCGGAATCGCTGGGGAAAGAGAGTCCAGTATAACTTGCATGCGCATGTCAGCTTAGCGACCTCGTGATTACCACACCGATGTGGTAATCACGAGGTTACCTAGTCCTATACAATTACCAAGATGGCGGAGAGCGCGGTGGAAGGTAGTTTCCACTTGAAATACAAAGATAATTTTGGACCGGCTTTTCTAAATGCCGTTAGTTATGCCTTAAAAAAATGTAAATATAATTTTAGTCCTAAGTTCGAACAGCTTCAAGCCATTCACGAATTAACAATTGGAAAAGATGTTTTTGTAAATCTTAGTACTGGCTTTGGAAAATCCTTGATCTATACTCTCTTTCCCTTTGTCTGCGTGCACGTGAAGTAAACAAACCACTGACCGTTATAAATTGCGGGCTCTCAAAATTCAACTTTATTCTGATTGGCTGGTCCTGCACATGCGCATGCAAGTTATACTGGACTCTCTTTCCAGCGATTCCGCGAGCGTCGGAAACGAGAGGCCAGGACTGGACTATATTGCACTGTTGCTATTAAACTCAACAATAGCTGCGTTATATGATAAGCCGGCCCTTTTAGCGATCTCTTTTACGCTGCCTCAAAATCATGTAATAAATCATTTTATTCACCAACAGCCTGTGCCAACGCAAGAGATCCGACATGTATGGACAAAGACAATGGAAATAGTTTGAAATTTTACGAGTTTTCAATTTCTGAATATTTTGCACACAATTGAGGCTAACACAGCGTAAAGGAAATCGCGAAAGTCAACCATTGGTGTTACGATGCTAATATCGTTATTCTGAAACCACGAATAAAAAAATCCTTTTGAACGGCAATAGATCGACCAATTCACTATATTCAGTGTTAAACGTTTTCTAAAATAGCTGTATATATTTTCAGAAGTTGATGAAAATCACTCCAATTTTAATTTAATCATTTTTAAAGATACTTAACTTAGTGATTTGCAATCCTTTGAATATCAAATACTCTAAATTGKTCATGTTCTAAATGAGAAACTACCTCAGTCGCACAGGTTCCTACAACATGTAATATATCACTCTTAATTTTGACCAGAGACATGTCCAGGCATCTTGAATCTAATAGAATGTTTTGGTCAAGAATTTTAAGCAGTGGTGGACTAGGATTTTTGAAAAAGGGGTCCAGATTTTCTACGTCTTTGCTTTTAATATTTGAATGCTGCTCGTTAGAATRCAGATCATAAAACTTGCTTGCAGCTGACCCCGTTTTCTACCCCTGGACCCGCCACTGTTAAGGACCTGCGGCATCAATACCTGACAGTTCATTCTTCACAACACACCGGTCATTCATTAACAGGATATCTGCATTACCATTCTGAAATCTTGCAGCAATTCCTCATTGTGAAGTKTCATTTCGATATTTTTGTATTTAATTTAGAGAGGAAGTCCCAGTCTCCTCATTTAGAGTATGTCCATGACAACAATCATATTAATCTAGAATAACATAAGGCAAAATGTGTAAGTTTCCTTCATTACAAGGCATCACATCCGTCCAGGAGTACCACGTGCCCTGGTCATTAAAACGACCGTTGATACCATTAGCTTCCTGGTCAAGATCCAGGACAAGATCTTTGGGATCTGTCGATTCAACTTCCATTGGTTCATTTTCCACTTCATCATTTTCGAATTTGCTTTCATTTGAAATTTCAGTTGGATTTTCTTTCCGATCCGAGGTGTCTTTTAAGTCTTGTAAGTTTGTTACAGTATCARTTTTTKCATTTTCCGAGGTGATTATTYGATTACTTGTTGTAGGAGATTCAAGGTTGTGTGTCAATGRAAGAGGTGCCTCCACACTGGTATTCTCCACCTGCAAACCATTCTTAGTAACTGAATGTTCATCAGCTTCTTTATTTTTGTTTTTTATGTCATTAGTTAAATCTTTCTGTACATTGCTATCAATTGTGCTGCTGTTTGTGATGTCTGTATCTTGGCTGGGTGTTAAGTCTTGAGAATATGAAGGAGTATTTACATGGCTTTCCAGTGAATCAATACCACTGTCATTATGAAAACTATCAAAACTATCAGGTCCTCTMCTGATTTTACTATCTTGTGCAGTATTTATATCAATATGTACATCTGGGTGATTTGAATTTGCGTTTGAAGTAGTCTTCGCATCTACTTCAGTGTCTTTACGTGTTATATTATCGTTTAATAGCACACTACCATTTTTATCATTTGTTTCTATAGTAAGTTTTTGTCTTTTAGCTTCAATAGGTTGAGATTCTTTASCCAGCAGGTCAGTGGTAGCTATAGTTGTGAAGGGAGAGGATGGATTGCTAGAGTTGTCACTTGGTGTATAAGGACTTGTGTCTTGTGACAGCGTTAAAGGCGAGCTACTCAAGCTTGATGTACTGCGCTTTCTTTTCAAACCTTTTTTACTTCCCTCGTTAACTTTGGCTTTCAGCTTATCTGTTGAAGACGTCTTTCCATCCCTTATTGCACCATTGATTTGCGGAGATGAAATGCGACTGCCATTTAATGGTGATTCGATACTTCTAGATGCTTCTAGTTGGTTAATTACAAGTTTCTGCCATTTTTTCACAAGTTTCTTAGCACGTTTAGCCAAGTCACTGTTATCTGTCTTTTTCCKCAGCAAATTAATGGTTTTCCCTATCCGTGTTGTCTAAAAACCAAACAAAAGAAACATTTAGAAAAAGGATTATTAAAATGTAAAAAAATTACAGCGCAAAGCCCAAAAGTGCGATCACCGGTAATTTTCTTATTGACCAAGTAATGGTTCGAACTGCGATGAATAAATGTGTAATGAATTTATATGATTGTCGCAGTGCGTTTATTAAGAATAAAAATGACCAATAAAATGACCTCTCTCCAAAATAGTTGGCTTCATAGCTCAGTTGGTAGAGCACTGCACAGGCATCGCAGAGGTCATAGGTTCGTTTCACGTTGAAGCCCGATTTTTTTTTCGGGCGATCCATACATTTCTTAATAATCGCTTAGATTATTATCTACACTGAGACAATCATATAAATTCATTACACAAGATTTTCTTATTGTTTATACAGGTCTGTAATTACTTTCAAACGCAATACATGACTGTATACTCTATTCTAGCTATTTTCCAAGTCAAATTCAATTGAAGATAAAAGTAAGTCTTAAAATTGGTTTACAGTAAGTAGTGTTAACATTTTAAAAGGCCTTATTTACTATTTTCAAAAATGCCGCGATATGTCACGGTCGACGACCAGGGCACTGGGGACGAATAATCCAGTTTCGAATTCTCCAATACTCTGTGTTAGCCTCATTTGTGCGCAAAACATTCCTAATTGTAAGAATAAAAGTGTGAGATTTAAAATCAATTCCATTGTCTTTCTTTTCAAATTCCATGCGTTTTTCCCGGGCTATCAATGAAACAAAAGAATATGTTACTTGGTTTTGAGGCTAACACAGAGYAAACCAGAACTCGAAATCGGAGTATTACTAAAACCAGGTCTCAAAGGCCAGCCTCCGTGTAGATGGTGTCTTGCAGCAGTATAAATAGCACCAAAATCTTTCAAATTTTGGACACTACCTACATGCGATCTTCGTARTGATTTCCACATTGAAGGCCTTTGAGGTCTCGTTTCCATGGTTCGCCACTAATCTCCCGACATTGGCTGTCGTGATCTACCGTTATTTTTGAAAGTCGTGTATACAAGTGGAATTATTATGGCACATATCAAACAATTGCTTCGGAGAAAAATTCATTCGTTTGCCAAACTTTTGCTGACCATATATGGTAATCTTACCTTATAAGAAAGTACGTATAAGATAATAATATTATTTAATAATATAATATTGATAATAATAATATTATTGTATGTCCCCTCTGTAACATGTTTTTTCTCTCACTATAGAAAATGAACAGTCACTAAGCTACAAGTTGGTGTTCTGTCTTATTATTTTACTTAATAATCWTATTGTCATGTGTAGCTGATATTGAATATATTGTACAGTACACTAATRAGATGGAGAGTTGGGCAATAAGCCAAAAATTCTTCACTTTTTAACTGCGAAAAGGTCTATCTTGGCAGACTGAAATTGTCTATAGGTAGATGGCCTTTTCAAGATCGGCTGTATATCTTATATTTCATGATAAATATTATTTATACATGTAAGCATCATCTAACAGTTTTCAATAATTTTGTATTTTTTTCCATTTATTATTTGTTCTTGATTCTTCTTTCTCATTCTATTTTATCTCAGTCAATTTCAAAAACTCTGACACCTAGAATATATCATTATTATATCAGTTGCATCATCGGGAGTTTCRATATTCTTTCAAATAATTTAAAAGTTTGATATTTAATTTTATGATAAATAACTTTGTTGATGTATTTATGTCTTCACAACTGAACAATGTTTGGATTGACTAGATATAATTCACGACTTTCAAAAATGACTGTAGTTCACGGATGCCAAAATTAGTGGACTAGCCAGTGATGAATCATKGAAATGAGACCTCAAATACATCTAAAAATCACTAAAAAGATTGCATGTAGGCAGTGTCCAAAAGTTTGAAAGATGTACACGTGTTGGTTTATTATTTACAACAAAACACTCCTTGACATATCGCACAATATTGTAATCTATGTACATTGTACTTAGAATTGAGTTTAGGCAATTTAATTCAGTATTCTATTAACCATAATAGATGTGAAATCACTATACTTGCTAGACTGGATAGCAATTAGTTAYTGTCCTCAAGAGTTTGATTATGATACATCATGATATTCAATATTGTTGGTGCTGGCAATTAGTGAGAAAAAATGGGTAGGCTATAGTGTACTCTGAAGTTCCGAATAATCATATAGAGCATAATAATAGTATAGAGTGGAAAAATACAAATTTACCAATAATAGTATAGATCGGAATAATAGTATAGGGTGGAAAAAACGGCAGTACTGGCAGTTTTCCCGCATTTTTTTGGCAAAACCGCTGACTTCTCCCCAGTTTCCCCTGTGATCAAATCCGCTGACCAGATGATTTGTGCTCTTAGTTTGCTGTTCGTTCGCGGTTTTGTTTTCGTTTTAGAGACAAAAAGTCTGTCTTTTTGGCAACTTTTTTCAATTTTTTTTCTCACGATATTGTTAATAACTAATTAAGGTAGGCACAGAGAAAAATATTGTGAAAATTAATAATCGTACAGTCCCAAATAAGGCCGTATAGAGTGGAATATTTTGCCAAAATAAATAAGCGTATATATACGATTATTCGGAACTTCAGAGTAGGCCATAGGGTGGCCCATAGGTAGGCCATGGACCCAGGCCCAGGTTTTGTTTCAACGCGTGTAGGGATGTGTTACTGTATTCTGTCATGTTACCAGTGAAAGTGTATTGACAACTTTCATAATGGCTGGCATTACTTAGCATATTATTGTTAAATTCATTATGACATTACTGACAGTATGTTCTGCTCATTTYAAGTAGCTTTTCATCCTTTAAACTTTAGCAAACCCCCTCAGCATCCTTTCACTTTGAAGTTTACACACAACATGTATTATTTTGACTTGTCAAGTGGCTAGGTTTATACGGACCAGCAGAACTTATCTCCTTATAAAATTTTGTTTCACTGAATGTAATATAAACAAGAAATTGAACAACCTCTCGTAAAATTTGGAATTAATAATCACTCGTAATGTTTTTGAAAATTCTCAAATTGCACTTGCTCTAGGCCTCATGCAATTTCGAAGAACTTTCAAAACATTACTTGTGACTATTAATTCCAAATGGTACTCAAGGTCGTGCAGTTTCCTATGCAAATAATAACTCGCAAAAATACTAATAATAGACAGCTTTCTAATGTATGTCATAAATATTGATTTATTTACCATTTAATTCATTATAATATTTTATAAAAACTTTTATAAGCCAGAAAAGTATTGTTTACCCTTGAAAAACATATTGAAGAAAATAAAAATCTCTTGAGATATTACCTTGGCAAAAATGTATAACTAGCACATAAATTTCAGTTTCTGATACTAAAGCAACTATAGCCACAACCAAATATATATCAATAGAAAATTGAATTTGCTAGATATAGCTCATGACAATCTGTTACTTTCCAATCCAAAACAATCCAATCTAACATTTAAATAAGAAAGGAAAGAGGACTGATCAGGATTTTAAACAATACAATTGACACAGCTTTTAAACAATACCAATAACTTAACTAATGTAAAAACTCTTCTTTGCTTTCTTGTACACGTAAAATCGATCAATGGGAAATGTTAGCATAAAAAAACTRCACTTCGAATTATAATTGTTATTTTTTTACTGATCCTTTTCGACTAAAACATAAGATAGTCTCGTCAAAACAAGCTAAATCAAGTTGTCATCAAATTCATCTCGAAAACAAATGCAAAGCTAATCTTTACAGTCGTAACTTATGTGGCRGTGAAATTCACGTAAGTCTTCCAATTAATCGAATTTAACAATGGGAAAGAAAACAACTTTGTTTAAATCAATTATTATCATTACTATTTTTTTACAGAAAGGATCCACCATAAACGTCGAATGTGCAGACAGCAACTTTAGGTTTCATAAACGGTTCTCTCTACTTTTCACTATCGATCAACAAAGTTTTCTTGTTTGTTCGGATCTACCAGCACGCAAAAACCATACATTTAAGTGTCCATTTAATCGACACATGAAATAAAAACACATAGATCTTAATTAAATCTTACCCAACAAGTAATTTTGCCTTAAAATATTTGTATTTTAACGTTACAGTAGTACGTCGAGTAAACTTGAGAGTGTAGTTTCAGAACAATTGATGTGCGAATTTGACCATCTTCGATAAAAGCTCGAGTTTTASGGCAGACCAGCGAATAAAAGAGAACACCAAATACATTAAGAACACTGTAAACATCTCTTAACATACCTCTAGAGCTTCCCTTGTCAGTGGCAGCCGCTCTAGTGTTGTTACTAACTCCAAAACCGCCACCATATCCACAACCTGAAATCCAGAAGAAACGAAAATCAAATASTCTTAGCACAACAAAACCTCCCAAAAGCGTCCTGAAATTCGCTTAACAAGGCTTCAATATAAACCTACATTTCCTTCAGGATCTACTGCTTTGTCTAGTTTGGATTTGATATCTTGTGGAGAGTGCGGCATGGAGTACTAATGTTGTATTAGTTTCCCACTTTCGGAAAACGCCATGCGAAGCAGCGATGTACATGACGGTTCTCGCTCAAGCTCTTCGTATTGTATTATGGGCTACTTGACGTCATACCGCGTCCATATTTATATCTCGACGTACAAAGTATCGCGGGCTCGCGTTGCTCGAACTGCATCCTGGGGGCTTTTTTAAACCTTTTGGTAGATCGAGAAAAACACAAGAAAAATAAATTTAGAAAATTCCTTGTGGTATGGATTGAGTAAAATTTTATCTTTCTTCATTTCCTTCTACTTTGGGCATGAGATCTTTCGATTTTTCGTTGTGACATGATACATCACACACAGGAAGCCCAAACACAGGAAGCCCAAATAAAAATTTATGAAAACCTAAAACAATCACAAAACAAATTGTGAACAAATGCTGTGTGTTAGCGCCATAGCGCCAACAGTGGTTTTTTGTTTGTTTTTCGCTTTGTTTCGTTAAGTAGTGTTCGCCATTGTATTTGTCAGCTWAAGTCAAMGTTCGTTTATTTCCTTTGTTCCTTATATGTTCCATGCAAATTTTGTTCAGTTTAAGCGCTCGTTTTGAATATTTTAATCAGTGTCGTCATATCGTAGTATCGAGTACATCGCACAGTTTGTTTGTAAGTATTTTCATCTTTTCCTTGTCTTTAATATCGTTTTTCATGTTATATAGTATAGTTAATTGTATTCGTAAATTTATTACTTAGGAACCTTGCTTGCTTGCTTGTTTGTAAGCGTTTCGACAATGTGTTTGTGAATAAATACTTGATCCGTTAAGTGTATCGTTATGGCGACCTCACTGTGTTTTTTTTTTGTTTTGTTTTGTTTTTGTTGTTGTTGTTGTTGTTTTGTTTTGTTTTTGTTTGTTTGTTTGTTTGTTTTTGTTTTTTTTTTTTGTCGTTTTGACTTGCTCAATGTGCTTCATTTCCTCGATGAAGAGCTTTGTAGTGCATGGCTATTGTATTGGTTTTAATTTTTATTGATGAATTTTTTAATTGAAACCTGTCAGTTTCTCCTTCCTTTTCAGCTGGTATTTCCACTTCGATGTGATAATGCCGGTATTTCTTTACGGCCAAAGCGTAAATCAAGACTTTGATTGTTCATTATTTTTAATTAGGGAGGGGGGGGGGCATTTTTTGCGTTACTTTCATAACCCAAACAAAAAAGCTCTAACCAAACTAAGAATCAGTGTCACAGGAAATCCAAATTTTTGATAATCCCCCCTATCAGAGATTACGTGAAAAAAATTGTCGAAAGCAAGATTTCTTTCTTCCGGTTTATAGTTTCCCATGAGCCTACAATAGACACGATAGGCCGCTAGAGTGGGGTTTGGCTACTAAAACGCTTTCTAGTGATCATGATGACATTGACTGAAATACCTAGAGACTAGAAACGACCTAGGGCCTGGAACAGAACGCGAGTAGCAAAAAGTTGCTTGCTTTTCCTTCCTCTAGTCAACAGACTTTTTTGGATTCAACAGAGGACTCCCACAGTGTTTTGTCTGCAGAGGAGGCTAACGAAACCTACCGTAACTTTTAAACAGTCTACGAATATAGTCAGATTAACAAATCAAAATAATGTAACGTATCTTTTAGGCTCTGAAATCACACATGGCAATCATTGGCTGACATCATGACGCCTTGATGTTGATGATTGGCAGATCGACTTTAATAGCTTAGTTTATTACTTGTATGACTGYATACCATGGATCGTCATTGGTTTGACATTATGGCTTATTTCATTTGCTGGCCTTATAWCTTAGTTCATGATTGGCTGACGTTATCGATAGCTTAATTCATCATTGGTTGACCTTAAAATGTCTTATAGTTCATAAATGCCTGACCTTATATCTTAAATGTATAGTGGCTGTGGTTATAGACTCATCATTCATTGGTTGACCTTTGCTCTTGATTGTCTCAGGTCATCATTGGTTAACGGCTTCAGACTTATATCATTATTGGTTGACATTTGGCTTAGTTCATGATTGGTTGATCATGATGTCTTAGTTCACCACTCGCTGCATGAAATTATGTCTCAGTTCATGGTTGGCCGATGTTATGTCTAACTTCATTATTGACTGATATGATTTCTTGGTTTATGACTGTYTTTACCCACTGCAGAAGTATATATAATTTCTGGTCTACCTTATGTCGTAGTTCACCAMTGGCTGACTTTAAATCATATGTTGTTCATTTTTGGCTGACCGTACAGCTTTATTTTAGTTAAATGGCCTACTTTGTTTCCGTCTTTAACTTTGACACTCAACCGATGATATGTCATTGTCCTCMAAAAGAACAAATAAACTTAGCTTTTAAACTTTTTCGGATTTGTTTAATGTGTAGTGACATGATGACGGGGTTGACCAAAGACTGCAGAAGAACAATAGTGTTTGCAATACCTGGTGCAATGTATTTGAATTCTTCATTGATCTCTGTTCCTTTAGCAATCTGTATGATGTTAACAGTGATCAAAGGAATATAGAATATGACTGAACCAAGCACTAAAATCCCTATAGTAAGTGCTCGTTTGAAATCTTTAGTCTGACGCTTGCGTTTAYCAARCTGTTCTTGCTGTACCCGTTGAGATGCGGCCAATGGAATGATTTTAGTTTTCATTTTGAATTTATATGCTGTGATGTGTACTTTGATTGTACAGTACAAAGTAATAAAGACGTTTCCCAAAGCGACCCTCAGTGTTGGTACTTTTTTAAAGGTTTCGAAATTATTAAGGAGGATTCTGAGAACTAGAATATTTGATGGGACTGTGATCCATGTAGCGACTGCCAATATCATGACCCTTTTGATTGTAACATGGAAACAATGGAAGAATGGAAACTCTATGTTGAGGTATCTTTCCACACTTAGCATCATTACAGTACATAGTGTCAAGGCAGAGCAAATTACACCAGTGGACGCTGCAGCTGTAGATATACATGGTGTCTCACATTTGGTTACTAAACACACAAAATACCAACAGTACAAAGGTTCTACAACTAACCCGACCAGCAGATCACTGAAAGCCAGGGCAGATAACAAAATGTTATAACTCTTAGACCTGAGATGATGATCTCCCAATATCGACCAGATTACCAAGACATTTAGGACTGTAGTTAGCGGTGAGGCGATTCCATTGACAATTGCCAGAGCATTCCATACAAGTACTACGGTTTCGGGTAAATCTGTGATATTGTAAATTCCGAATTCTGGTGATATCAAGCAAGTAGATGTACGGTTAGACGACGTAGCCATGCCGGCCTAGCACTTAAGCGGAAGTGAGTCCAGTTTGTGATCGCTCTGCGATTTTATAGCAGGCAGGAAGAAAAAAGGATTTGATCTTATCTACTATTTGCTCAATTTGCTTTTCTAATCTATTTCAACTGTCGCTAATCATGTGTCAAGTGCTATATTTAGTGCACTGAGTGAACAGAGCTTTTATATGAATATGCATAAATTGGGTTTTTTAGTTTAATCAATAGTTTCACTTAATGAAAATATTTCCTTGCTGGAATACACCCTTTAGAAAATCTCAAAAGTAAGTTGAAGACTTACTTTTATACAGAACTAAAAATTGACATACGATGTTTGCATGATAGCTTCAAGCAGATATTGATTGGTTTTACCTACGCTTTTTTCATTTGTCAGTGATTTAACGGATAACATGTATTTTTAACAGGATGTTAATTAACATGAGTTTAATAAAGATACTACTTCTCACACCTGACCCAAAATTATAAAGAAAACTCATGAAATGAAAAAAAATAAAAATATTAAAAATAATATCATCGTTTGCAAAAGAATGTAACAAAAACTTCAAGAGAGATATGATGTTGGCATTCATTCGCCATTTAGATTCCTTAAGGGTTTCCAGCAAAAATGTTTGTAAGTGTGTTGGAAGAAGAGATTCATATTTTTTCGTTCATTTTACAGTTTCGACAACATTACATGCTTTTTGAATTTCATTTTAAAAATCAATAGAAAGCATTTCAAACTATCCACTACTTCTTTGTTATCTTTTTACTTCTGGTAAAAATTTCTCGGATGGCTGAATACTTAACTTTTATGATTCCATTCAAAAAATCAAGATCGATTTGACTCTCCATCTTTAAAAATAATTTCAATTCCATAACTACACACTATATTGTATCTAAAACAGCTGCATTTAATTATTCTCCGAATTCGTATGATTGATTATTCAATTAAGCAGCTCTACTTGTAAATTTGATTTATCTATTTGATCTCCCCAGATACTTATCAATATGATTTCTCGTGATCAGCTATTTAGCTAGTAATTTCATTTTATTTGTTGTTGTTTGGGCTTTTTTCGATAAAAATGAGCTTGGCGATTCATGCTGGGGCGTTATATTCAACCTCGGGTTTAGATTTTATTGAAATTCTCACGAAGCAAAGCAACAAGATAGAGTACGAGTGGGCGCTCTAAGAGCGTCCGGTTCGGCATTGACTCATGAAAGAATACTTCTTTAACGATGCTGTCCAACTATTTTCAAAGAAATTTATTTGATATTCGTTRTTAGTGAGGAACATTTTAATATCCACAAGAGGCATTTCGAACTAAAGTGCGAAAGTCAACAAATTTATGGAAATTTCCAAAGCATTTTTTTTATTTTCTGCATATCATATGTTGCACCTCTGATCYACTTAAGTGTACATTTTAGATTTAGTGGATTGCGTGCAATGTGTTTTAAAAGATCATAAATAGGGTTTAAACACAACAATGACTGTCAAATTTACTAATCTTATCTTTGTCTTCTATTCGGATACTCGACGACGTTTTTGATAGATGTAAATTTTGCGTCGACTCACTTTTTAACTAAAAAAATAACCAAGGAATTAACTATCTCAGATGCACTCCTTCATTGTTTTTGTCTTTGTTTTTGATGAGACAGCTTTTAAAGTGCGAATACATTTGTAACTCGCAAAATTCTAAGGATTAACTTTTAGGATTTGTGCCTCTTTTCCAGTTTTTAAACTCTACGCACCGACCTGTAACCAGCAAATAACATTTTTTAAATATTTTTTTACWGCCACTTTCTCGTAACTTAGCTGCAATCCTCCTCATTCGTGTACGCTCACTCGTGAAAGATCTTTTCAATACTCGAAAATAACATCCCTATCTGCGTATCCGTATAATCCGTATCCGCGCGCCCATGTYATATCCTCTAAGTAASAAAAAAAACACGAAAGAAAATGTGAGAGGTTGGGAAGACACCTGCGGTCTGATTTGCTCTCGAATTCAACCAAACAAACGCCTCGGTTTTCATAGCACTACGAAGGCACGTCAAAAATGTTTTATTTCTTAATATAATAATAGCAGCGAACAAGTTATATATTGGTTGTGTCTTGTCGGGTGTTTGAGCAAAGTATCATATATGAGGTGACTTCATGATCTTCTTATAGAAATCTTCCGCTCACTTTTTAGGCCCAAAGTGTATTAGTCAACGTTTAATAAAGTTTGATACGTCGTTAAGAGAAACATAATCGTGCAAGAATGAATCGATGAAAATGGAGTAAGCTATGTTACGGGTTAATGAGAATCAAGTTGACAATTTCTTTGGTAGGAGATGAATATGAAAGGAGGTTTTCCTAACTGGGATATAAGATAAAACAGATTTTGATCCTTTTTAATGACTGTTTTCAAATTATTATTCATGAAGCATTTGCTAGCTATTTATGTAGTGTTAGTGTTTTTAGGGGCAAGTGATCACCAAGTTTTCTATTTCATTTCATTCGTCTACCAGACTAGACACATTTCAAAACTTTCCATCTTTGGTACCCATTTTTTTTAATGAGAAGCCTTCTGTTGATGTTAAAAATTCTGACAATAAAGACTAAAGTAATATTCTGAGATTCTACTAAAGTCATGATGATCAATTAAGCACAAACATGACCAAATTAAATTACATTTAATACTTATCTAGATCAATTCCAACTATTGAATGTCTGAGATSAAACCTGAGAAAATTCAAAATGAAAATTTCAGACATTCAAAGCCATCCAAATGTCTTCTTTAGGCCGGGACATAAATCGGAAACTGATTAGTATTTCTCAGATGCACATTGTTAAGGAAGGAATGGATGCATTATACAAGCTAAAACTTTGTCAAGGACGTCGATGGCGTCATGACAAGGGATCACGGATCAGGGTTTAACTTATTTTGGGGATCAGGGATCAGGTTTTTTGCTTTTGGATCGTGATCATAAGGGCTGGACTTGGAAAAATTTGTAATTTATATAGGGAATGCATGTGATCACTAAATTTGAATAAAGATTCAGGATCAAAGATAAAAATGTTGGTCCAAAAACGGGATCACGAGTAAAAAAACATCCCATGTCAATACCCTGTCGAAGGGTTTTTGACATCTCCGGGCAAAAGGCTTTTTAAACATAAAGTAAACTTCTTCGATATGAAGATCGCTTCCCAGAAGCTAGATTAAATTGAATTGAATTGAAGAACAGGTGTATTTCTGCACTCGTACTAGAAACAATTCTTGGACATTCGTGAAATTGCATAGCCTATTCAAGACAAATTGGTAAAATATAGACGCTAACCTAGCTATATTCGAAGGTTGACATAATCCATGTAGTGTTCCCATAAAAGATTGCAAAATTATATCAAAAAGATACCTGCAGTTTCTTACGAAAAATGGYGTGGCAACACAACATTTCAACCTCTAAAAAAAGATACGACCTAAAATCATTCTTTTAAGCATTTTTAATCGCTCTAGAGATCTCAACATCGCAAACTTTCTACCCAAGGTTTATAATAGCATTTACATAACTTCTCTGATCTATCAATGTCATAAACAGGAACCGGTGGTGATCCGAAAACCTCTGAGACATCACAAAAGATACCAGATCCCTGATTTTTACGTCACTCTACTGAAATACAAAGATCATCCCCACCATTCCATAATATGGACGTGGGAGCCCCTCCCTTCCAAAGACCTTTTCCAATGGCGAAACTAACTATGTATACTACAAGAGGTGTAGATAGGAATGTTTATAGGAGGGCAAACAATGCAAAAACCGAAAAAAAGCCAGTCAAGACAGACAACGAGCTGTTTATTAAAGTAGCTTGCACTGACTAGACTCACAGAGCATGCGTCACTAAGGACGAAGACAGTAACAATAACATAGCTTAACATCATAGACTAACTGGCCATAACATTGACTGGGACTCCGCTACTTGCATTACATATTAGATGCACAGAGTGGCACAAACTCCGCTGGTCAAACATTTAAAAAACACAAACCAATCAACCGTTCTATTTCACTTCCCACAGCATACATCAATAGACTAATTAACGACTTGAAAACCACGCGCAAACGAACCAATCGACTTCCTACGCTCAAAACAAGGACTAACGCATTTCCGACTGTTAACATTCTGGGTGTCTGAGAACTATCACTTTCAATCTTTTAAGCGTTGGATATGATGTACACTTCAAAGTAACCTTGTTTACTGTCAACATGCATGAGTGAAGAAAAGCAAAGTAAAAAAGAAATAAGCCGCATAATGTTCCTCAATCGATAAGCTATTCTATACCAATAGAGGAACAGCTAGAGTAAGGGTAGATGACCAAAGCCCATAAAAAGACTTTTTTTGAGGTAAAGACAATTTTTAGTTGTCATGATTCTTTCTCTCCGTATGTCGAGCACATGTTCGATGATATTGCATCCCATGATTTTACTATATCCCTATACTCCTTTGCTTTATTTATAACTACTATTACTACTTATATTTTGTGAAAACTCCGATTTATGGCCCGCAAGAGCACCTTACATATGTATTGTATACAACATTGCATGTTGTCATTATCTATACTTTTATCATTTATTTCATTATTTATGCTGTCCTTATTTTTTTAAGATAAATATTTGCKTTCGTTTGAACAAAGTGAATCATACAACTTGTCATCGTTTGTTTTCTTTTTAACATTTTTTTTAGAAAATTATGGTTTAGTTTATGCAGGAATTTGATAAGCAATATAAATTATTTGGTCAGATCTTTATGTTCTTTAAAACTGCTTGCTTGCAGCTTACAGTTTTAAATGCCCATCATCTCCCGATCATGTTTTATATCATGATTACACAGAGAACAGCAAATCAGTGCTGGAAGCACTGATCACATTAGAATTAAGCTATCCTTGGTTTTAGATCTACTGTTGCAGGCGCCGGTATTGAAGGAGGAAAGTTGCAAGGAGGATTATTTGGTGTGATACTATTGTCAATGGGAAGGGGGACATTTTGTATGTAACTGTCGAAAAATCCAATATTTCCACGTGGAAAGTATCGAGCCACAACAATAAGACCATACTTTTGACTGTTTGCTGCTCCAACACCAATCTCTCTCGTCGACTTCCAAACGATCTAATCATGAAATAGAATTGTGTRTAAGCCTTAAACTCCCAATCCAATGGACAAATCCCAAAATCCCAATGGACAAAATTCCAATCCCAATAGACAAATCCCAATTTCCAGTCTCGAAAAAAGGCAGATCCCAATTTACCCCTTAAGGACCCTCAATTAATTTATAAACATTGCGGGTTGGTTAGGAGCGAACAGCAATAAGATTGGTCAAGAAAATATGAAATACCAATAATACGGATATTTGGTTGTAGTGTCATGACTGAATTTTGTTTTATCTCTATTTAAAGAGAACAATTAGATCGTATCTCGGGATTGGACGTGGGCTAGGACATGAAATTCACCTCGGCTTAATGTGAGAAACCCTTATATTGCAAAGAATGCCAAACCATACCTGAGTAAAGATACTAATTGGTCCCTCTCTACTTCGACCGTTGATAAAATCATAGTCCTTAATCTGACTGTACCAGTGTTTGACTATCTCAGAACACTTGATACAGTCTAACTGTCCAGCGTTAATACATTTGGTTGTGTTAAACAACGTAAAAGCCAAGTTTTCTCCTTGTTTTGCTCGATTTAAATAAATTAAATCATGTTCAAATACGTTTCTATTAGCCAAGGAATTTGCCCATTCCTGAGCGGCGGCAGCGAGGGCCTGGGACCATACGAGAGGCGGAGTTCCATGACGTCCCCTGTATTGGTTATGGGACCTTAAGCAGTCGTTGTCAAAGTCATTCATCTGAGATTTAACTGAGAAAAATGAATCGATAAACATGTAGCTGGCAAACATTTAAATGATGATCAAGAAAAGAACATCTAAAAGACTAGATCATAGCGATGATATACACCTACTTGCAGAAACGTTGTCATAGAAAATAGAACAATTGAATTTAGTAAAAAGGAATAAATTAAAACAAGACAAAAGAAAGCTTTCAGCCTCAGTGATCTTCTTTTGTCTTTTTAATTTATTCCTTTTTACTAAAATACAAATGTCCTATTTTTTATGACAATGTTCTCGCAAGTAGGTGTTTATAGCTGCCGTGTCTTCGCATCTTTCACAGACCCTTAACAATCTCCTCAGAAAAAAGACACTATGTTTTCTTCGTTGCCAATTAAAAGAGCATGGAATAACAATTTCAGAGCATATCAGAGAATTGTATGTCATTCTTGCGGGTTCCCTGTGCTTTTAAATTTTGGGCTTCCTCTAGCGAATCCATGCCATATATGGAAACAAACAAAATGGCCGATTGTTGAGAAGTATTTTCGCTATAATATCTGCAAGTTTAAGACGATTTCAAGCTTTAAAAGTCGATAAAAACGAAAAAAAAACATTCCTATCGTACTTCCAAATAAGGTAAGATTACCATATATGGCTGTTAAACGAAGGACAACTTTTGTGGGGCAATTCTTGATATGAACGTGAAAAATGACTACAACTCCCATCATGCTTTGTTGCATAAAATGGCGTCGCTCCATTTTTTCTATKTACTTACCACTTGCAGCAATCGTACACAGTATAACAAGAACGCCATGCATATCGAGCACTAAATGTAGTTTTTGGCCTTCAAATCCAAAACAAACAATCTTAAAATGGATAATATAGAGTCCCTCCATTGTTCGTATGAATAAATGTTTTGGTCAGTTAATTTGTCAAATTTTGAAATTTGTTCTACAGAATAAAGACAAGATACAGCTAAGCTACAGTAGACGAATGGATCATAGGAATATAAACTATATGATAATAATAAACTATCAATATCTTTTTTTTTTTTTTGCAAAACAAAACAATTTTATGAAAATTTATCGTCAGACTTTTTCTCACCCTGCATCTTATACTCCTCTAACATACTCTATCTCTGTCTCTTCGCTAGAAACAATGATCAAAACACTGGAAAAGATTATTTACCTTTGACTACATCCTTTGACTACACGCTGTGGAGGTTATTAATCATGCATGTGCAGTGAAGTTGATTTTGATATGTCAAAGGACAAGCAGGAATACTTGAAAAACGATTGAAGCATAGAAAATGTYACGAGAAAACACAAGAAAAATGTTTTCGGAGCCATCAATTTGCTAATAAACTAAGTTATTAAAGCATGGTCAGTACAAAGAAACATAAGACCGAGSTCTTGAAGTTACAGACCGAGCATGCGTGATACATAAATAGTTCATCGTATGACTTTTACATGAAAATGTTACGGAGTGTTCCGAAAAACTAAACGTCTAGAAAATTTCAAGTGATAGATCAAGAAATTTACCAAGAAGTCGGAAATTACAAATGTTCGATAAGGTCGCATGCACAACAACGGCACTCAATCTATTGTATTCTGATTAGGTTTCATTGTATTTAGGGGCATTGTTTAGATTCTGCTCTGTTGTTGGTAAACCTTTGTTTCTATCGAATTACTTAATCTGTGCTCTGGTACDCGAAGTAAAAGCTGGATTGCATGACGGATTGTCACGAAAAACTAAACGTCGTCAAGCAAAATGTTTGAAAACTGTTGCTAAAAAATAATCATTTTAAGTGATTGAGCAAGAAATCTGACAAGAAGTACTTGTACTCTAAT